GTGTGTGGGTGTGTGTGTGTGTGTGTAATGTAAGGGGTTGAGTAAAAGAATGTGAAAGTTGATATCCTTTATCACTTGAGATGCACCAATCCATTCATTTTATGATCCAGTACCTGTGCTCTGCATATCGGCTGATATTCAATACCAATTTGGAGCTATTGTTGTAATGAATTAACTGTATAAATTGCAAGACTTCATATAGACATTGATTAAAAAAAAGGTAACAAATTACTTAATATTATCTATTAAGAAATTAAGTGTAGATTTCCAGCATAATAATATAATAATATAATTTTATATTGCAGGACATGCACTTAAAGATGACAGAGTGTCCAGAGCAATAGGGCTGTGCAAGAAGCTGGTGGGGCACTTCTCCCACAGCTGGAAGAAGAAGGCAGCAATGGCTGAAGCAATGGCTGAAGCTCAAACTTCCTGATCACACCCTCATCACTGAATGACCTACAAGATGGGGATCCAAAGAAATGATGATTGCCAGGGTGCTAGAGCAGCTCAAAGCCATCACTCAGGTGTTGTCAGGTGACCGATATGCACGCTCCCTGATCCCAACCTGGCAGGATATTGAGGTGTTGGAGTCCATTCACAAGGCACTGCATCCTCTCCAGGAGTTTACGGATGCTCTCTCTGGAGAGGAGTACGTCAGCATCTCTTACTTAAAACCAGTTCTTCATCTTCTGTCCACATCAGTCCTGGCTTAAAACCAAGAGGACACTGACCTGACAAGGTCAATTAAGACCAAGGCCCTGGCTTATCTCAGTGATAAGTACAGTGACCCCAGCATCCAGGAGCTTTTGGATGTTGCATCCTTTCTAGACCCAAGGTTCAAAACCAAGTACATCGCTGCAGACAACATTCCCACCATTAAGAACCGACTCAAAACTGAAATTATGCAACCAGCAAGGCGTGCATATAACCAGGTTGGTAATTATCACATCTATGATTTCATAAACACAATATATCTTTCTAGTTATAATTTAACCTCAACACTAATTACTGTATTTTTTTTGTTAGCTGACAGGAGAAGAGAAGTCGTACTGAAACCACTACGATGCCTAAAAATGCACAGCCCTCTGTTGAAAAGGGCAAGAAGTCTCTTGGGAGTCTCTTTAAGACTGCTGTGTGCTCTTCTGTTTCTTGTTAAACAGCTACCTCATGACTCCTACCATTGATGGAGAGGAAGACCCCTTAATAATAATAATAATAATAATAATAATACATTTTATTTAACAGCGCCTTTCTTGACACTCAAGGTCACTTTACAAATAATACAAAAAAAATAAATAAATAAATAAAAAGAGATGAAAATACATAATACAGATACAGGAACATAAAAAAAAAGAAAAAAAAACAATCACGGATAGTGAAAAGAGCAGTATATTCACAGATAAGTGAGCTGGAACAGATGGGTTTTGAGTCTGGCTTTGAATAAGGGGAGAGAGTCAATACTGCGGAGGTCGGGAGGAAGTGAGTTCCAGAGCTGGGGAG